CGACGCACACGCACATTCTTTTAATAGCTGATTTCTACCTAGAATTGATCTTTACAGACAGTACATTGAATATAAAGGGCGTATCAAAGACAAAGTGGACATGATTTGAGAAAAACTAATTGTAAATTTGGAAGGCTTTGCTTCCACAATTAAATACCTCTGCAGGTTTTAATCAGGACATTTTGCTTCTCAAGTAAGTCTTGAGATGAATAAATAAATTTACCAGTTTCGATAGGGGCTATGTTTATTTAAGCTTTTAAAAGAAATGTTAACGACAATTTGGCAGCTCAATTTTGACGAAAAGTGACAAGCTGTCACAAAGGTAGAGAAGGTCAGACGGATAGATCCCCGGGCGATTTAGTTGTCAATTTTCACATGCTCACCATGAGAAGACCACGTGTGCATATATTTGCACAAGATTAGAGGCAAAAACAGTTATTTTCACATGTCTACAGAGTGAAGAATTGAGCCTAAACTATTTCACAGCGATCACATCTTCAGGGCTGGGGGGGGGGTTGGCTAATGGCATTAACCGCTAACAGACAAAATTCAGTTACTGCGTAATGATAAGGAAATCGGGAGCTTTGGAGACACCCTTATTGGACGAAAAATGCAGCTCCAGTGCTCTGAACATGACTGGATAAAAGCTTATATTCTTGTATATGATATTAAGTGGTCAAAAATAACCTAATAAAAGGAGCGGGGAAAAGTAGCCGGGGTCACCAGGACCGTAGGAATGAATAGATGCAAAAATAGGGCGTTGGCAAAGGTGTATAAATTTCACTTAACTAAATTGTAATGTTATTGTGCTATTTTAGGCTCCTTTAATCTCGATGTCCATTTGAGATTGTTTGATTAGAGATCTTAAAGAACGAGAAAACAAAAGTGTAGTCACGCCACTATTATTTTTCGAGTATTATGCAGTGATTTAAGAATACCGTCATTTCAGTTGTACACCCTCGTAATAAATAAATCTCATCCTTCTTCCGATGTTCATGGGTCTGGATTGTCGACAGAATTAAGGCAACTGCTGGTTTGGCGACAAATTGGATATAAGAGAACCAAACCCATATTGACGCATAGAGCCAAACAAAAATGCCTAAACTAATTTCAATGTTTGTGCTCATTTAGGTTGACAGACATATGTTGTTACTTCTTACAACCAACATCCATGGAAATGAAGAAATCCCAAGTCTCAGTCATGAGATGACATCTAAACAGGAAGAGGAGCAATTCAAGTAGATAATGATGTTAAGATACCTCAGGAATTTCGGAAACGTTGAGTTGTTCTCCACGCCAAAGGCACAATTGTCATCATTTCTGAGTTCATACCATTTAAATTGCTTTGTAACTTCTTATAAACATGCATATTTTCATAACAGTGTTAAAGTCATGTAAAACAGCAGAGCTTACTGGTATTGCCAAATACCCCCCACCTAGGAAAAATTATTAGGTCTTCCCAATGCAAAATTCCCATTCTACTGAACTTCACTTAAATTGTTGATGGTACGTGTTGGAAATAGTAATTTCTAACCTTGATAAATGCCATATCATCGACCTACCACAAATTTGTAGAGTTTATAAACAAATAAACTAAATTTGTAAGTTCACGTGCTTATGGAGTCAAGGCTTTAACTGAAGGAAAAAGGCGTAGGACAAACGCCGTTTCAAATCACTGAAATAGAGGATGCTAGAGGTTTTCCTACTGATCGACCTGCCTGCAGAATGTCAGCTAGTTTTTTCCCCTCACCATCAGAAATGCTTTTTTTGAATGTTGCACGAATTGGCGCTTATATACAGGAGCTACACAGCAAATTACTGCCAAACCTGGAGGCAAGTTCAAGTCAGCACAAATCATCTTATGCCCACCAGAGAGCAAATTTCAACTCTACAAGAGTAGCTGCGCCTCACAGCCTCTCTAATGAGAAGTTTCAAATTTACTCGCCTTTTTTCAAATAATACGGTCGAAATCAATATAGTATCTTCTGACTTCTCAGGACAATAACCTTCACTTCATCAACAAGATACAAATTTGTGCTGGTCATAAGCAAATCAACAGCAACACAAGGTTTCTAAAGAGGGGGGGGGAGTTGGATAAAATCGTTCCGGAGCAGTAAATACGCAAACAGGTCTACATGACTGCTTAACAGTGTTTTTCTCTCTCGCTCTCTCTCTCTGGCACTGCAGAATAACCATTTCATAATGAATGTTTTTGGCGTGTTGTACGAGTTGGTGCATGAATGTGAATAATCATAAATTACAGAACCTTATTTTGAATGTCATCAAAGTGTACAATAAAAGTTGAAATGAGAACACCCATGAAGAAAGTACCTATAATAGGCTGTTACTACCAAAATTGCCAAGCAAAAATGGATACTACTGTATTCACCTGAGTCGAGGTTGAGACGATTTTCGCCAACTGGATATTTGACCTCAAAGTAAACGTTAGATTGTAAGAAATCGGTAAAAATACTTACGTACGCTTCTTCTATGATCAATTGAAACACAACAACCCCGAGGCGGTCAAACTTGAAACTAGAAATTTGTTCTTAAAAAAAGAACAACCAGTTCAACCTCCCATTACATATAGTCCTTTGGAAACAAGCCCAAATAAAACGTGAAGACTTGGAATATCTCAAAACTACGACCATGGTTAAGTTGAAATGCCAATAAGCTGTAATCTCAAGTGTGCGAGATTCATTTCTTAAAAGATAAGTCACCTATACTCAAAATGAAAAGTCCTCAACATCTGACCACTCCAATAAATAGTCTTATTAAAATAGAACTGACAAAAAAAGACCGATTCCGAGTGTGGTTAGCCCTTCAAATACCATAATTGTAAAGCTATGCCACTCAAAAAGTCTTATTTTAAGTCACCCAAGTGTTCGATTAAAGAGAGTGAAATTGAACCTTTGCCATCTTCAAGCTTTCCGACTCTTATGTTCCAGATGTAAAATTCGATCCCTTTGGGTTGGCAAAGGAAAAAGAAGTAGACTAACTTCCATCACAAAGGATGATAGACTAGAGGTGATGACTAGAGGTAGACAGAATACCACGAACAAACTTGGTTGATTAACACTAAACACCTCAAAAACCAAAAATTCCACTGACCTTAACCTCAAACACCTAATTTGCTTACCTGTGCACTTATTTCCTTTTTGCATAAAAGAACATCTCAAGCAAAGAAACAGAAATAAATATGTTAATAAATGCAAAAATTCACCATGGGAAAAAAATCATGGTCATATGTATAAAAAATATTAATGAAGTGGGATGACAAACAATCCAAATTGATTAACTAGTCAATAGATTTTCTAAGCAATTCAGAGCAAATTCGAACTTGCACTCAGTAGGAAATTGTAATTATAAATAACTTAAGACTACTTTTTACCATGAAGAAGGCGAAACAAATGCTCGGAATTAATTAAAGAAAAAAAGCTAATATAAAGCAACAACAACTAATTGTGTAATAAATATAAGCTACATATAATTGCCAAAATATTCTATTCCTCATTCTTATTTAATAGAATAACCCATTATCGAATGAACTAAAGAAAGAAACATCCCTATTTGAAAATAGACATCCAGAAGTCATTAAGACCGAAAAAAACTCACATCACGGTAAAGCATTCAGGCAATGACTATGCAACAATGTGTACCTAACTATGGTCTAGGATTCTAGGTATGGAGTGGATAACACCTGACATTTCCACCTAAGATGATCCAATGAAGTTTAATTTGGGTGCTCGTACGAAAATCGCACTTTCTACGTAGAATAGTAAATGAGTCAAATATTAACTTTTCTGTTATGGAATTTGAAGATCGATCAAGTGAAATCCCATTATACTTACAGATGACCCTACTACATAATGACGCTCAGTGATATAGCTAAATGAGCCAAACATACATTCGAAACCATAACTCAAATACGCAATAGGCCCCCGGTCATCCGATGGACTTATAAGACCAGGAGAGGATCGAACAGGCAAGTAAGTAAGTGCTACAAGCATACAAAACTTTGTCGTCCGGCCATAAAGACACACTCACACACACACACACATGGGCAAGGGTATGAGAGAGGGAGGTATTATCATCAAACATCATAGAAAGGGAAGTTAACAGATGGCCGATATCGAGCTGAGTCACATGGCTGCAGGTGGAGAGGGTGGAGAGGAGAACAAGCAGAAACAACTGCTTGCTAAGTGAGAGTCAGCGCATGTGCAGCACAAGAGGAGAGAGCCATGGCGTTAACGCGATAAAAAACACACCCAACAGTGAATGTGCTAGTCCCAATGTATACGCGGGTGTCTCCAAGCACACAAATGGCTGGCCAGCCGAGCAAGGCAGAAACCCAACTACTACTGAAGCTGGATTCGAGTCTTCAGGAGTCCACTTAGTTAACGCCCCAGGAACAGCGGAGGATAAAGTGAGGTCAAGCTAAGATTACCACCTAGACTTACCATCCAATGACTCAGGCAAATTCTAAAGGTTACTGCACCATTGAAACCACGTAGTGTTGAATACAACTATAATTATTATAGAAAACATATGAACAATCCCATATTGGCCCAAGGTCATTAACGGCTAGAGGAATCTAAGGTACCTTTGTCTGGTGCATGTGAAAGGATTATAAGAGGCAGGGTTGCGTTACTGGGTTAAGCTACATTTCAATAGGTAGAAAAAACCGTAGTGAGACAAAAGAAATGGAAGACTTTGATGAGTGTATTAGCAGCGAACTCAAAATATGATCAAATTCTGGAAGATGTGAAAGCAATTTGTGCCGTCTCGAAAATATTAAGCGACTTTGATTAAGTAGGTGTCTTTAGATTGAAAGATAATATTAAATATAAACATCTATTTTAGTTAATTTTTTAACCAATGCATTTCAGAAAACAAATAGGACCAGAATATTTTCCCAAATCAAATATCATTAGCATTCCATCTTAGTAGGTTCGATGACCCGGTTAAAACTGTCTCATAAATGGTATTAAAAATCAGATTTAAGGTACCTTCTCACTGGTCAGAACAAGCGTTCCAAATCACGTCTATTCTTGTGCTACTCCAACTTACCGCTCACAGTTTGGTGAGCCCAATAAGAGATCAGGGTAGATCAGGCTATTGCTAAGGGCATTAACAGTCAAGATTACTCCGATTAAAAGGGATTCAAGTAAAAGACACGATTAAACACCGGTGGCAAAGCGGTCAGGGAGCACATCTGTAAAGCCAACGACAAATTTAATAATCAGTCAGTGAAGGAAATGACCACTAGACCGCAATGATTAACACTGATTCAGAGCGAAGGAACAGAAAATTGAAATTTTCATTACTGAGTATTGGCATTCAGCTTCTTGGAAGGATTTATTTCAAGCTACGCAATATGTCGCTAGCATTGAATGGAGACCGTTTCCTCGTCAAATTGTGCACACGTCAAGGAACACTTTGAACCAAAACCTCTAACTCCACAACCTACCCTCTAATTAATTACGAAGCACAATAAGAAGAAAAGTTATCAGAGAGGCTAATTGCTTCGGTTGTTGAGCAATCACTGAGATAAAAAGAGAAGGGTTCGAAGGGTATGGTTAAGTAGATAAAGAAGCCAGATTGACTAGTTTGAGTAAGAGTCCCTGCGTCTGTGTGCTTCGTAGGAAAGTTAGATGATAGTAAAGCCCCAGATTTGCATAGCAAAGCTATATTGTCCAGTTAAACAACCACACAGGTATTACCTAAAACATTTGCCGACCTCGGATCAGATTAGACACGAAGCAGTGTCGCGATCCAACGACATGATATGCACAAAGAAAAAAAACGAATTCGGCATACAAGTAAAGTAGCCTATTACCTTCGTTGTGGTAAAAAGATTGAAAAAAAGCCAACTTCAATATTGAATAGAGGCGTAGATGCTAGTCTCAACATACACTTGGAAGAATTGGAGCGCTTACATATTTTTTGAAAATGTGCCATCAATAGAAATAACGACCAGACTCTAGTCGATTAAGTTCTCCAATTTGGATAAAGGTCACTTGTAGAGGACTTGTAAATGCATGGGATATACCCATAGATAGATTCACAGACGTGCAAATATGGTACAGCCCCCACTCCACATTTGTGCCGAATGTGAAAAAAACTGCTGTTGCTGACAAGAGTGGATTGTTTACAATTACATGGATGTGCTTGTAAACGGAACATAAAGAACTTTCTTTTTCAGAGCGTTCACAATTTCGTTTAATTCGAATTTAAACACCTCTCGTTTAAATAAGCAACAAAGACTTGAAGTCAGGTAACCAAAGAAACCAAATTCAAAGGTTAACATTAGACATAATTAAAGGTGGCAAAATCATTGAAGTGTTTATTCTGCCACTCCAAGAGAACCTCACTACCATATAAACAGTCCTTTGTTAACCTCATTCTGGTAACTTGAAAGGAATTTCGAAACAGGATCAATTCTACTGCGGATTTGAAATCGCATACTAGATCACATTTTACAACCGTTTACACATACAAAGGGGGCGAGTCAATCATAGTCAAGTTTTCAGATAGGAAAAACCCGAAACATTAAGAAACCCTTAGATGAGACTTAGTAATGCTGTTGAGAATAAGAACACAAGACAAATATAACTCAGCATTTCATTAACAAATAAAATTGGAAATGCATCATTGAACAAAGTACAGTAGAGCATAGATTTTGTGTGAAATTACGAATAAAGAGAGGTAAAATAGGGAGATCAAATGCATTTGCACGACCAGAAGCAGACACGATAATGGCAGCTAAAAGAGGATCCAATCATGAAAACTACCATCACTTTCAGGCCTTCTACAAGGTTTAAAGTCAGTAAATACAAAAAAGAAGTATGGAAAAACTACAGCATCACAGAGCTCAAAACCTTGGTCAATGAGATAACTTACTTTTCATTTCAAGTTAAGGAATACTGAATGGCATGTTATCAAGTGCTGTCAAAAAAATCGCGAATTCGCTTGAATTAACGGCAGAGAACCCATCCCGAGATATGTGGCTTAATTTTAGGATAATTAACGGAACCCAACTTTAGAGGACGCGAGTTATATTCTAATTGAATTTAATCATATTGGATTGAGCATGGAAAATCACGTGATACAAAAAATCCAAGCTTTTTACTGAAAATATCACTCATAAATTTAGCATTAGATATATAAGAACGAAGGAAGATATAAATTACGCTGTAACTTTGAGCAGAAGAGTACGGAAAACAATGCAGAAAATTGTAATAATTTGGTCAAATATTTATATTAAAATCACCTCAAATACATTATTCAAGCATATGGAAGAGGGATTGCTAACTAATATCAAGATCTAAAAGTAAACACGGGGAATTAATTCAATATTTACATGAATAAAATTATTTGAAAAGCATACTTTACATTACAATCAAGTATAGTAATTGTTCAAAATAACCGAGCTATCAAGAAATTGGAAAAATGCGGAAGAGGAATAATAGTTTATTGATTTTTCTTACAGATGGTTCATAGAGCTTATAGAATGGTAAAAATAGAAGCAGCTTCAGAATATTATGAATAGTAACGAGTAATAAAAGCAGCTAGAAGTGCCAAAGGGGGGCGCCAACCAGACGGACAAACGCTATCATGAGAAAATTTCCATCACAGACCACCTACGACTTAAAATTCATAAGGAAATTTGAAAGCGTTTAGGTTTACAAAAAGATACCTATGCCTATGGTAATTTCATAAAATAGGAAAGGCTAACGTATGAATTTACCGGAGAATATTGATTCCATAAATCCTCATTGGCATACAGACCCCATCGCGTTATTGGTCCAAGAGGTCCGTTGTTGCGAACAAGGTGCAATGGGGCGTAATCGGAGACCTGTTCACCGGTTCGAAGCCAAACTTCCAAATTAACATGAATAGGGGGAGGTCGAGAGCAATCCCTTTTGGATTTTTTACAATTTAAACGATCTATTGCATTGGCGGAAGAGTCCCATGGAGCATAGATAAAATTAATATTTCTGTACCCAAAGCGTTCTCGAAGAAGTATTTCAAAAATATAATTTACAATCCAATTGGAGGGTCGATCATTCACTTCGATGTTGAGAGAGAATGATTTGTTATTAAAATGCAAGCTTCTAATCCATTTGGCTTTGTCTAATGGGGATATTATTTGAAAAAATGCATACCTGAAGGGTATATACAACTTTCATTTATGCGTAATCCCTGTGTCACGAGAAAATGCGATGACACAGTTAGTAATAATAACAAGAAGAGAATGAACGCTTTAATTGCATTCATAATTTAGTAGGTGAATCAGACAGCGCTGTCTTCATAAATTTGTAATCGCGCATATGGAAATGAGAAAACGATTCAAGGTAAAATCCGAACAAAACAGATTGCCGAGCTCAAAACTGAATATAACAGCGTCTTAAACTTTAACTTCAACATGTAAACGCGAATTAAAATAAAATTATTCGTCGGTATTACCTATACTGTAATTGCAATGCGCCGACGAATCAAAAAGCCTCGGAGCACACATGATAAGCACACATAGCTTGTTTTAATGCCTTCAAGTGAAATCTTAAAACTAGCCATTTACAACATTTTACGTTAAAATAATTTTTAAATTATTTATAAATTATTAATTTCAATTGGAATCCTTAAAGAAATAATTAAGTTTAGCTAATAAAAAGGTTAGTTTGCGTTATTAAGCCAATTAATATTTATCTAATCAAGATACCGAAAGTTCGATGCACCTCAAACCCTTTTTTATATGTATGCACATACACATTCGTCTTGTTATACCTATTAAGAAATTTGCTTGAAGAATTTTTCGTGAATCTTTGAAACATTATAACTAAGGTAGATGATCAAAAGATCATTATATGAATGTATTTTGGTTAAACAGAACTCATCTATTGGAATCTTTGCACAATATATAAACACTATTGAGATTCTTCATTAAGATTTACAAACTTATATAATTCTTAGAAATAACTGATTTTAAAAATAATATAAGATTCATCTCTTTTGTCAATACATAAACCATATATTAATTATATTACTCATAATTAGTATCCTTAAGGAAAACGAATCATTCCAATTACAACATCGCTATTCATTATTTATTGCAATTAATTTCAATTGAGTTATCCAGTTTACGTCTTCGTCCTAATTATACAAATCAATCATATTGTTTAAGGCGCTTCTCCACTAAACTGATAGATTGGTGGTTGTCTTTAAGCAATTGCCTCCAGATAATGAGCCGGTGGATTCTGTACCAGATAGTGATTACAGGTGCATACAATCTACATATACAAACTTCAAGAAAAAATATCCCACTCATTTGAGTCTTTTTTTTCAAATATAGTAATTTACTTAATTACCGTTTCCTTAATCCATTAAGTTATAAAACACAATGATAACATTTCCGTCAGGATGGATTATTTCAATCAGTCAAATACCACAATTAGGAAAATTAGTTATGTTAAGTTATCGATTAACCAAATGCCACAAGTGGATAAATAATAGTAACAGAGGTGTTTGAGCTTAATCATAAAAATTCAATTTGGTTAAACATACAACGTATACCATTAGACAAATTGTCTTCCTCTTTCTTTATTGTCAAAGATTTCTCCAGATTCCTTTCCCTAGCTCGACAAGCATTTTGTGAATGAAAGAAGAATATATTTTGATTCGATTGAAAGGAAAACAAAAATTTGGTTGATTTAGCGTCCTTGAGATGATTTTCTTCTTCATTAATTAATAAGGTCAGAAATAGAGTATATATACTTCAAGCTCCTTGTGATAAAGTAACAAATTTATAATGAATTTTATCAGTAGGTGTGTTGACCTTAGTCGCATTATATTCTCTCAGTTAGCAACCTATTCTCGTAATGCGTTCAACAGTTTTGCCATTCTCGCATCAGATTTGTAGTACTTTTTTAAAGTAGCCTTGCCAGTTGTTGCACTCTCCGTTAAAACTGTGATTATTTCGTACCATTTAAAGTTCGGTTTACAGGCAGATTTTATATTACCATAATATTTTTGAACATATAAGCTATCTATGCTCTTGTCAATAATCACGCATTGTCCATTTATTAGACAATGATTAACTATTTTACATGAATTAAGACGGTCTTGTTTTATGCTCAGTCAGGCCGATTAAATATATCGACCACATTATGCCACGGCGGGAATAAGAATTTCCCTGTATTAATGCCATAAAGTTAATTTCCACATAAGTAGTGAAGTACCAACATTGGCAAGCTTAAAGGATGCCCAGTTCAAATAACTAGGTTTAGTACTTTTTAACGTATTCGGCGTTCTGCTCAATCAAATCTGAACCGAATTTTAGCTTGCTGTCCCCTAATAAGATATTTGAAGTTCGATTCAAGAAAGACGATTTAGCTACCACTTTCAAATGTCCAAGTAACCGATATGTATTCACCCAGCTTATATTGACTTTGACTAATTCTTGAACTAACTGCAGGTACATTGACCTGTGCCAGCTTTTTTATCTTCCGCTCCTCTAAGACCATTTTGCTTTCCCCATAACAACATAATCAATTTGAAAACTGCTCAAACCGCATAACCTTCCACTAGCTCTCCGACATTTTAATAAGTATTCTTGACCATCACAAGGCTTTCAATTTTGTTGCGCGATGAAAATGATGTATCCAGCCACTTCATTTCTAACCTTCGTCAATCCTGTTTATAGCGAAAGACCACACTCAAAATCCGAAAATACCGACACCCAAACCGTAGCTTCCATTAAGTATTTCCTAATGTGAAGAAAGCGGATAAAAGTTTCAGTACAACTGAATTCTCACATCGTAAATGTACATGATTAGCCTCGGGCTCATAAGTAAGTGTCAAATACACACATGTCGTTTGCGGAAGAACAAAGGAAGAGAGATAAGAAGTCAAAAGAACAATAGACAGGCGATAAATCTGTGTAACTAGTCAATTCATGACAGTAATAGATGAGGGAGAAAAATGAACACTGACAAAAAGAGAGGTAGAAGGGATGAAGAAAACGCCTGAAGGAGGGAAAGGAAAGAATTGTCAGATGAACGAAGGGGAAAGAGGTTGTTGATGTTGGAAGCAACTCATAAGATAACAATGAAGGGAAAGGGATAAGGAAGCATCACACAGAAAGGGAGATGTAGCTATTGTATTTCGCAATATTGCGTTTGAGGATATCGGAGCAAGGGCCCATGACGCGTTCAAAACGCTTGCGATCTAACTTGACACAACGCATCGCACTCTGGGCTACCACTGTCGCTGCTCTTGGGCGATCCAATAGTAAAGCAACTTCACCTTCAAGACAAACAAAATATAACGCCATTCAAAAGCGATATATTATTACTCATGACTATTGCCTTCTTAGGCTATGAAGAGAAGATATGACTTCATGACACAAATGCGTCGATTTGTGGAACCAAGCTCTCTCCTTCTTAAGTGCTTCGTTGATCTTATTGCAACAATATTACACATGTCTATTGTCCTCTTAACCTTTTAATACCCCTAGAACCGTATAGTCCTTTTTCAAAATAAGCTGGTACTAGACTCGTAACAGGTGCTATTGCCGTTTGAAACATATTCAATACGTCTACAGCCTTCGCCTGATACCACCAAAACTCATTAAGTCGGGTGCTTCAGTCTGTTGTGAGAAACGCGTGACGCATTTTTCAAAAATAAATAATTCGGGCAAGCCCTTTTTCTTAAAGCGAACTGTTGAACTTATTTCAACAATCCAACGAATTTATAAGCGCACGTTTTAAATTTTGTGGCAAAATACGAATAGTTTAGTACTCATTTATGAATGCATAGGATCGAATATTTTTGCAAAGATAAAACATAAGCAAGATTGTCAATTGTTTACAGAATCGCCCTTTAAAAATTAGAAAGAGCTCAAATTTCATGAACACTTCTTTCGTCTAAGGATTATATTCACCCCGAAGGCGGATGAGGTTTTTATTAAATGAATAAGCATAAACTAACACTTACTTAGGAATCGAGTTTGCGAAATCATCGCAAATCGCCACAGCCACAAAACAATAATGACAATTTTTAACAATCTTAATGTTTAATAATTCTTAGCCATAATCTATCTCTTCCCGATTTGCATTTTGCAAAGTCAATATGAAAGAAATGTGAAATTTGCCCCATGCGTCAATTCTCACGGACTTCAGTGATGGACACACTGTAGAAAAAGTCTTCTTAACTCGCTACGAATCAGATTGGAAATTATTTTATAGTTAATTGTATATACTTTCAGGGTCACAAAAAAGTTGCATATTTAGCAAGCCAGTGCGTAGGGAAACAGTGTCCTATAAAATACCTGTTGTACTTTGTTAAAGGCCATGGATTCATGTATATGCTATTAGAATTCTACAATACAATTTCGTCGTTTATGTTTAAGGTGGCATGAGCTAATTCTAGCAAGCCTGCTGTTGCAGTTATAAGTCTAGCGGTCAATACACGATGCGTCCATAAATAACCGTTTATATATGCAGTACATTAACAAATTCCATTACCTCACAGCGTTAAAGATGAAGGATTCCCCTCGATCTTTTAATATACACACTCACCTCGCCTTAAATGATTTGAATATCGATAAAAGTGAGAGGAATGGCTTATCTAAAAGCTTACCTTTGAAACTACAAAAGTCTAAAGTAGCCAACTCTTCAGTGGTATTTTAAACTACATTCAAACTATTGTACTTCATGCAAGAATTAATTGAGCCTTTTCAAATCTACTTATGTATAAATACAACGAAATACTGTTAGGCATACCAAAGTAATCGGAAGGTCCAAGTCGACTAACTTCAACGGGTTCTGCGTTTTCTGAAGGCTTTTGGAGAACTGCGGCCGTGCCCTGAAAGAATAAAATATGAGTCAAATATAAGCCGCAAATTTTGATGCATCAACGTGGAGAAAATGAGCCTTGTTACACCAGAGAACTATTGTCGCATACTTATATTAATAGGAATAATAAACAAATAGCATGAATATTTGAGGAGCATCCATTGAATGATTCAGGAATTGAAATGACAGGCAATTTCAAAAGGTATTTGGAAGTTTTCATACAATATATATTAGTTGGAGGTGAGAAACGAATGTGGCGACTGAAGTTGGGGATTTATTTCGCAAATCACTCCTAAGAGAAAATGCCGACATTTCTTTTCCCAAAAGAAAACTTGTTAAATTTATCAATGTGTATTCTACAGTTATGACTTTTTTTAAAAATATGCCTCAAACTATACTTAAGTCTTCCAAGTCTTTCAATCTCTTTTAAAACACACAAAAATAGATATTGAACTCTTCTTCTGTGTCAAAAACCAACAATAGACTTGCTTCAATAAAGTAAAAAAGTGGAGTTGGTATGGTGGGCATTTCTCATCAAAATATCTAGGAAGGAGCACTCAAATTGAGGAAAAGTTATTAATACTTATCTAGTTGGAAATTTGTAGTGATGTTTTATATAAGAGTGCACACTTTTACAGTAAAGTTGTAAAATGCCCTATGATTGCTGTGGCTAATACGTAAGGGGTATGCGAATTTACGATGCGCATTATAAGCATTAACATATAATACGTAAGGTAATGGAAATAGCCAATGCGCGGCAAATTAAGTAGGGCAAGAAACCATTTATTTATTTATTTCAAATGGCAGGCGTT